AGGCATATCGTACCACACCCAGTTTAAGAAATGCTTTTTCATTTAAAACATAAGCTAAAAGTAAAACAGTGAGAAAGATACGCTCATGTGGATCAAAAGAAAGCTGAACTGGCACTATTAATATTAGAGATATATTTCAGGCCAAAGACTGTCACTAGAGCTAAAGGCTTTTTGACAATGAGGTCAATTCATCAGAAGAAAATAACACTCTTCAACATTTACACACCTAAATAACAGCTTCAAAATGTATGAACTACAAAATGAAACAGTAAAACCTATGGTTATATTTGTAGATTTCAATATCCTACTCTCAGTAATTGATAGAACTAGACAGAAAATTAGTAAGTATACAGGATTTAGACAAAACTACCAACTAACTTGACCTAATTGGCATTTATAGAACATTCCAAAAGGGCCAGGGATGAGCTCAGGTAGAAGGCCCTCATTTTGATCTCCAGTATCTCCCAAAAGCTATTAAAAAATTTTTTTTTTAAAATTGTGTGTGTGTATCACATACTGAGTAAAATCTGGTAAGAAACTAATGCAAGTTTTGCCTGAAGACAGTGGTATTGCTACTATACCTTACGAATATTTCAGAGGGTAACTAAAATGAACGGCCTGGGAGCCATTTCATGAGAAACCAAGAGAACAGGGACTGTTTCCCCGCAGAGGAAAGGACTCAGCGGTGGCAGCATGCTTGCCTTCTGATATGTGGAAGATCTTTGGTGGACCAAGAACAGATTTATTGTGGACACAGTAAGAAGGACAACTAATAAAGGTTAGAGGCCACAACATAAAGTTTCTACTCATGAAAAAAACGGGCTCCTTCTAAGTCGCTGGAAGTATTCGGGCAGTGGGTGGATACTTGAAAGCCCCTCATTGGAACAGTGGCTTAATTTGTTCACCTCTGAGTCCCTGAGCACTTACAAGTCTATGTATTTCCTTGACCTTGGCCTATGAGTTCTGTTACTCTTGTGATTTAACACGTGGAACATTATGTGGAAAACTATATAGGATTTTTAAATCATCGCCAATTAGGAATATGAGGATGCTTGCAGTGATGAAGAGTGAATGCTGGTTATTTCTCTGAGGTCTGTAAGGGCTTTGGATAGAGAATCCTAAGAGAAGGCATGTGTGTGTACATTCACAAATTAGTGTGTGGTTCCTGATTGTGTATATATGTGTATATAAATATGTAAATACATAGTATGGATACTGTTATGGCTCAGACCTAGATATTCCCCCATTGATTTTATTTTATTTTTGTCTTTTTGAGACAGGGTCTCACTATGCAATTCAGGTTGACCTTGTGCTCACTTTGTAGCCCAGGCTGGCCTCGAACTTGCAACGATCCTTGTGCCTCAGCCTCCCGAGTGCTGGGATTACAGGCGTGCGCCACCATGCCCGGCTAAAGTAATAGTTATCCTTTACCTATAATTGTTGGTTTTTTGCTGCCAGGAATTGAACTCAGGATCTTGCACTTGCCAGCCAGGCGCTTGTGCCACTGAGCTATATCTCCAGCCCTTCCCCCAAAGATTCATGCGCTCAGAGGCGGGGAGTTTCAAAGGTGGCTGGATTAGGGTGTGTGAGTGTAGATTAGCGGATTAAGAGGGTGGATAACAGAAGCCTCACCCTGGGTATAGGTGGCTCCAGTCAATTGGATTATAGCCTGGAATATAAAGGGACAGAAAGAAGGCAGGCCGCTGCTCACAGCAGCATGGACTGTTTTTTCCTCTGTGATGCCCCTCTGCCACGCTGCCCTGCCTTGGAGCCAGCTGGTTCTGAAATGAAACCTCTAAAAACTGAGCTGAAATAAACCTTTCCTCCTTTAACTTGTGGGTGTCTCAGCAACAGGAAAAGTGAGTAAGAGAGATACATACATATACTAAGTAAATGCTCGCACATAACTAATTTTTGCCACTGCATTTTCACTTTGATGTAGAATACTTACAATTCTTTCTCTTTTCCTCTTCCCTTCTCTGCCCTCCTCTCCTCTCCTCCCTCAGGCTGTTCTCAAATTCACAGTGATCCTCCTGTCTCATCCTCCTCAGTGCTGGGATTACAGGCATGTGCCACTGTGCCTAGCTACTTACAATAGTTTTTACCAAGTAATATTTTTGAAAATCATTTGCAGCAGTTATGGGAATACCTCTGTGGTACAGCATTTGCCTAGCATGCTTGAGGCCCTTGGTTCAGTCCTTAAGGCAAAAAAATCGTTTGCCATATTTTCCATTAACCTTTCACACAGAGTTGCTGATCTTTGCCTTGACTTCCTGACCACAGTGCTCTTAGTCATTACTATTTGACTTGCTCCACAAAAGAACAGGAAATTACCAGAACGATACCAATCATTTTAAACTAATACAGATTGAAGCATTTTTGTTTTAGTGGTTTTATACTTACTTAATTGTGCTATATTCACAAAATTTCTCTTTCCTGGTTCCTGTTTTGTCACCTAAGCACTGAGGTTATGAAGGCCGTTTATAGAGATAGTTATTGTGAGAAATTTGGCTCCCCAGGGTGTCGCTTCCCCAGTTTACTTTTCTCATACACAGATCACATCTGGAAATGGTTTGTAAAGAGGTTAAATTTGACACTTCTGCATATCTGAACAGCAATCTTGTGGTTTTACTTTTGTCCTTTTATTTTTTTCCTCATTCATTTATTTTTCTTGATTAACATTTGTCTTCTCTTCAACAGGCAGAGATGGTTTCAGAAAATTTTAATATAGAAGCCCCCAGCTATTTGTCCACGGAATCTGAAGTTCTCATTTACGCCCGACAAGATGCACAGTGCGCTGCCTGTTTCCACGCCTTCTTGCCTGTGCACTGTCGCTACCACCGGCCGCACAGTGAGGGTGCAGAAACCTTGGTAGTGCTTGGTAACCCAGACCTGTTGGTGTTCTGTGACCAAGGTGAGGGTTGAAAGTCTTTTCTGAGCGTTGAAAATAATAGCAGTGTAATGGAAAAGCTTGTTTATTTGTTTGTTTTTTAATAACTTTTTGATCATAAAATGAAGTGCAAATAGGGAAAAACTACACAAATGCAGACTTTCATGGATTATAGTAAGGGAAATACCCTTGTAACTACCACCCAGGTGAGGATATAGCACTTTGCTGGCCACCGTACCAGCAGCTCCGTTTGTTTGCTCCCAGTATAGCCTCTCCCTTCCCTCCAAGAGTAACTTGCTGTACTGACTTTTAATTGTTTCCTTACACAGTATTTTATTACTCGTATGGGTAAGATTCTTAGATACTATCATTTAGTGTTGCCCATTAAAAAAAATCTCTTGGGCTGGGGATATAGCTCAGTGGCATAAGTGCCTGCCTGGCAAGAATAAGGTTCTGAGTTTGATTCCTGG